ATTTTTTTTTTTTTTTTAGCTGAGCCATCCTGCCACGTGTTGGCAGCTCAGCGGCAGCTCAGCTCGGGTGGAGAATCGAACTGCTGTTGCTCAGAGCTCACACTCTTGAGCGAGCTCTTAACCAACTGAGCCACTCTGCTGGCCCGGGAGAGGGAGTATTTTGAGAGGGATTAATGGCAATATGTGTTTTACTGTAATAATTTTTTTATTTAAACATTCACTGTATTTTGTGATCACACCTCATATTTTTGTATTCGTGTAACCAGAAATCGACGTCTCCGAGGCTTAGCGAGAATGAACGTGGCCCGTGTTTCCATAGGCGGACGAGCTCATCTTGGCGTAAGCAGTGTGCCCTCTGAAGCCCGGACGCTGAAAACGGGAAACGATCATTAGCAGACGCATTAGGACCTTTCCTCTTTTCCCGTCCACAGCAGCTATTCCTTCCTTTCCCCTCAGGTCCTCGGAGGCTATTGCATCATCACTCTGTTAGTGATGGAGTCGTGTGGTCTGCAGAAGACAGTCAGGGCTCCTGGACTGTAGGGGTGACAGCCGCTAGCTCAGCACAGACACTGGGACCGCATTCCCCAGTCCGAGCTTTGGTTTCCTCTTCTCTAAAGTGAGGACAACAGGCTGGCTGATCCCCTCAGACTCACCCCAAATGCCGTGCTACCGGGTTGTGCAGCTGAAGTCACAGTGTGTGTGAAGTCACAGCTGGGCGTTGCTTTTCCCAGCTGAGCCCTGGTCAGAACCCCAGGCGTTTGCTGCCTGTGGTCGCACACCCGCTGCGCTGCAGGGCTGTCTGTGCTGAGTGCCTCTCCCTCCAGGGAGCTTGTGGCGCATAGTAGGGCAGTCATGTCCCCAAAACAAGGTGGTGGGGGAAGTGTAATGAGAAACGCAGATTTCATAGCCGTGCGTGGAGGAGAGATGAATTCTGGTTGGAGGGGCGAGGAATCCAGGAACTTTCCGTGAGGCAGTGCTCTGAGCTGAGCCTTATCTAATGAGAATAGCTTTGAGAGGCAAGGTCACTGCGAGTGGAAGCAGGAGTGACAGGAGGAGGCGGGGACATGAGCAAGTGTGCAATGGGGTCACAGAAAGGGAGGCTTAGGTGCAGAGGACGGGGCGGGTGGACGTGAACCGGGAGGGTCGGCTGGCACCAGATGGCAGAGGTCTTGAGGCCGGCTGAGAGCAAGCCCGAGCCTGCACAGAGCTTTCCTTCCTGGAGGCAGCGGGTGAGCCCCCTTCTTAGGACTGCAGCTGGGGCTACAGGAGTCCCGCTTCTCTCCAACAGTGGGGCTCAGCTCAGGGCGAGCCCCCCCCCCATGGGACACATGGCAATGTCTGGAGGTATTTTTGATTGTCACGACTGGGGTGTGCTGCTGGCACCTAGTGTGTGGAAGCCATGGATGCTGCTAAGTATCCTACATGCAGTGTTATAGAGAACACACCCGCCCCCGCAAAAAAAAAGCAAACAATTATATATCCGGTTGTCCAACATAACAGTGGTTGAGAAACCCCAATCTAGATGCTTATCTTGGAAAATACTTCTCAAGGGAATCTTTTCAAGCTATTTTAATCTCTCTCTGGGCCAAATGTTTGGAGAGGGACATAGAGGCTGGGACAGCAGGAGAAGCCACCTGGCCCAGGCCTGGACGAGAAAGGCTCTTCCTTTTTTGGTGTTTCCCAGAGCCCAGCGTCAGCCGCGGACCTATCAGAGGGCTCAGCGCCATCCATGTGTGGTTGCACCTCTGTTATCTGGTGTCTCAGGCAGGGTGCACCCCTCCCACCCCGGGATTCCTCGTGACCACCTTAGCTGCATCACGTGTCATCGCTGGTTTCCCCTCTGCGCTCTCTGTCCCCACAGGGCAGTCTGTGCTGGTCCCGGGGCACCCCCAGCCCAGCCCAGGGCCTGGTGGCGGAGCGCGTGGCAGCTGTGCCTTGGTGGAAGGAGCGTGTCCTGCTGGGGGCCGCCCTTCTGAGCGAGGGCTCTTACCCACTAGGGACACAACTGAGGGTCAGCTTTGGTGACTTGGTGCTACCTGAGCATTTAATGGGAGCACTTGGTATTTCTGACAGCTTTCATGGGGGCAAAGGCTCTGGAAAGGGAACCCCTGCTGCCACCAACAAATGTGTCCCCCCTCAGAGGATATCCTCCTCAAGCGGATTTTCCAGCTGCGTTTAGTGATGGCCTTAGAAGCAGAATGCTTGTGTGGTGAGAACAACACGGTGGCACGATCAAACCGTGAAATGTATTTGAAAAGCAAGTTTTGAATAAAAATTAGCATCGCAGACCCCTGCAGGTCGCAGCTTTTAGGCTTTGATGTGAAGAGCTATACACAGAAATAGTGATTTTTTTTTGTTGTTGTTGTAAAAGATTGCATTAATTAGACAGCTAAGATACATAGATGTTTAATTAAAAAGATTGCTTGATTTTCAGATGCATCCCTATATTCCAAATAAACCAGGAGATTGTGGGGTCTTGGAAGCTGAGGAAAGGGGTTCTAGAGGGAGGAATATTGATGACCTGTGTCAGGTGCTACCGGGAAATCTGTTCATATGAGAATTGAGAAGCAATGCCCGGATTTACCAAGGTGGCATCACAGGTGACCCTGACAGGGGCAGTGAGGCAGGGCAACGAGAGAGAGAAAGCAGAGTGAGGAGGGAGTCAGCGCAGACTCACAGCTACAAAGGGGAGCAGAAATGGGGTCCCACATGGAGAGGAACAACCTAAGCAGGGTTTTTGGTGGTGGTTTTTGGCCTGGGTTGTTTTTAGCGGAGATAAGAGAGGTCAGAGTATATTTGTGTGCCAACAGGAACGACCCAGTGGAAAGGGGGATTTGATGGTGAGTAGGGGGGATGGGCTCAGAGCTGGCGCGAGGTCAGTAAATTGGCAGGTGGCAGCGGGCCCGTGCACAGGCAGCCGGGGGCCCTTAGTCAGGAGCAGGGACCAGGGAGTCGGACCGGCGCAGGCGCAGGCAGGCTGGCCAGTTTGATGCATCGAAGCTCAGCTCCCCTCGTGGTAAAGCGGGGAACATACCTTCCGAAGGTGTTCCGAGGAGGGAGCACAGCAAGTAAATGACAGCAGCGTGCATTCACAGTCACACTTTCTAGAATGCGGCCTTTCTCGTGTGAGGGAACTTGACCCAGTTCCGTTCTTCATGAAGCTCAGGGTTTGTGACTGCAAACAGGTTCCCTTGTGTGAGGCCATTAAATGTGAACGTTTTGTCTCTTTCAGAAACGGATATAAGTTTCTCTACTGTTCTGCGCGTGCCATCGGGATGGCAGACATGACGAGGGGCTACCTGCACTGGGTCAACGAGAGGGGGACAGTGCTGCCACAGGGGCCCCTGCTGCTGAGCCCCAGCAGCCTCTTCTCCGCCTTGCACAGGTAGGGCGCTCGGCTTGTCCACGCTCGCCCCAGAACTGTGGCCTGTCAGGCCCTCTTCTAACCTGGAGGTTTGGCAAGAATAGCCTTTTAATTGGCCTTCCCAACCGGTGTCCCCGCTCCATAGTGGGCACTGGAAAAATGGTCGTAAAATGCGGGTCTAGTCCTAGCCACCCATCACAGCCGCCCAGCGTGGCTCTCCAGACAGCGTCCTCATTGGTCCGCTGGGCATCACGTGACTTCAGGACCTGCCCCGCCCTCCCGCCCAGTCTCGTTTCTCCCCAGTTGCTGGAACTCGGTCGTGCTGAACTGGCTTCCTTTCCCAGCGTGACGGTCTCCCCTTTGAGGCTTCGCACGTGCTGCTGCCCTTTTGTGGGTAGCTGCCTTGCCTTCTCCCTGCGTTGTTGCCCCGCTGGGTCTTGAAGAATCAACTTGCATTCCATCTAATGGGAACCTAGGCTGGGTTAGTAGCCCTTCTAACCAGCCGCCACCGCCCACCTGGCCTCGGACCCCCATAATACTCGTGCATTCTGGGAGTTCTGGTCACACTGTTTATTGTAACGGACCTCTGGCAGACCACTAGCCAGTGTCCGATTACAGGTCCCCCTTCATCCTCCTGGCTGCATTGAAGGCAACCCAGCCAGACTCCGGCTTCTTGGAGTGGGGGGAGGGGAGCGCTGGGCTTCCCTGCAGCTGGGGGGCGGNAAGGTGCCTGTTTGTGTATTAACACATCCCTCCGTGAGCCCTCTCCTTTGATTACTTTAATTTTGGGCTTTCTGTTCAGAAAGTAAGTCGTGGGTCTTGTTGGCATTTTTTAATGAAGCATTTATGATGCGTGAATTGGAATGGACTGAACCCCCTCCTTTTGTGATACCCCCTTTATGTTGTTCTTCCCGCTTCTATCCTTATTTAGATCAGATACTCTTGGCCACATTTTGCCGACCCTCGGGAAGGATTGGACCCACCAAGGCATTGCTAAGCTGTACCACAAAGTGAGCCAGTAAGTATGGGGCGCTCTGCTGGTGCCCGCGGCACTCTGCACCCGGAATCTTGACTGCCAGGGTGACCTACCGAGAGGGGTGCAGGGGTGGCAGTGGGGAGTCTGAGCACATGGTGAATCCCACCAACTGCAAATCTGAATTCAATACCAAGAGACAAGAAAGGAAGCGATAAATGAATCAAAAATTGATGGCGAGAGAAGGAGGCGGCAGCATTAGGCGAGGGACTGAGGTTCATCTCATACGGAGGAAAGGCAAGCATAAGCAGGTGAAGAAACTGCAGTCTGACATACACCAAGAGATTTATTTTAGGCAAGAAAAGTGCAAATTCCAGGCCGATTTTAGCTGTGGTGCTGGCCCTGTGGTCCGGGGAGCTCTCCGCTGAGCAGCCAAGATGCAGTACAGCATCTGCTGGGGGCCACTCCAGACATCAGGCTGGGAGAGTAGATCTTAAGCTGTGACCTTGTGTCAGGCATGGTCTGCCCCTTCACGTAAATCTTATAGTAATTCTGAAAAGCAGGTAATAAGTAATAGCATTAGATGAGTGAAATCAACTCAGGGAGTTAAAGCGATTTGTCCAAATTCCCATAACTGCTAACAGGCAGAACTCATTAAAAGCCAACTGCAAGTCCATTGCTTCTGCTCTAGTCTGTCTCCAGGGTTCAGAGCCCACTGGGGCTCCCCTCCCCGCCCATCACTGGCTTGGACTTATTCACATTTCCTCCAACTTACCGTGGACTAGAGTGAAACCTCTCCCTCCAGTGCATCCTGGAGCTGGGAGGTGCCCGAGGCTCACTCAGGACAGCCCTTCTTTGCATGGGGAGGAAGGTGAGAAAGTTACATAGTTGGGGAGTGACAGGACGGACACCCAAGCCCGTGATATGCAGCCTGATGTGCTCACCTCTGGCCCATGTCAGTGGTGGTGGCAGGGAGTGCCTGTTGAGTGCCTGGCTTTGTGACAGGTGCAGGGATGACAGTGAAGTAGATGCTGTCTCTGGCTGCCTGGACCTTATGCTCCAGTGGGAGACAGGTGGCTGGGAGGAA